AGAATAATTTTTTTTCAAAATGTTCTCCTTTTATGAAAATGCTTATTATAATAATATTTTGCCTGTATGTAGCTCACATCTCTGTACAGAGGCTCAACTAGAATTTTTGAAATATATAACTTAGAAGTGGGTTTATTCATGTTTTACGACAGCATAGAGGAGCAATTTTAAGAAAAAAACGCCAATAATAATTTCAGTTGGTTGTAACTCTGAAAATAATGTGAATTTTTCAAAATTCTACTTGAGCCTCTGTAGAGATGTCTGAGATATATAAAGGCAAAATATTATTATAATAGAAGGATTTTTCAGAAAAGGAGATCATTTTGAAAAAAGATTATTCTAAGTCAATTTTTTGCCAAAATATTGTAAAGGTTCGGACTGGGTTCGGAGACAATTTTCTAAAATATTATTAAATAATTATTTAATTGTTATTTTTTAATTAAGTATGTTGCAAAACTATAAAAATACAGCAAGAAGAATTTTTTGAAACCTTATTTTTGCAAAATATTGAGAAATTTTTACCAAAATATTACAAAAATTTGCTCTTTTGCTAACAACTCTAAAAATATATATATTTCACAATAATAAATAAAATGTTTGGAGGAATACAATTCTTTATCTTTTAACTATGCAATCTATTAAAAAAAACTCAAGGTTTAGAATAAAATTATGAAATACAGTGTTCGACATAAAAAACACAGAATATTTCTGAAAAAAAAATTTTTTTTTTCGTATAAAATTACATTAAAAAATATTTTAATTGAAAAATTACCCTTAGATTTTAGCAGAAAGCATTCATTATAATACAAAAAACAAACTCAAAAAAGTTCATAAGAATATTTCGTTTATCTTAAGAAACATCACTCTTACCGTTAACCATTATGTTAAAAACAAACATTCTTCAGAAAATGCAAAATAAAGCTTATATTTGCAATAAAACTTTTTAAAGATTTAGGAAGGTATTAAAAATCTCCAGATTTGTATGTTGTGCCTTGCTGAACCTTATACTTCAAACTTTTACATTTTTGACGGGTCTTTCTTTTTTTACGAGACAGTTTCTTATCTGGTTTAGAATGCCTTGTTCAATCAACAATTCTCGTTCTGGCAAGGTACCAAAAATATCCTTTCATTTCAGAACATAATTTCATTCCTAACTTTAAAGTAGAGGTAATAGACTAGCAAACCCAGAATTTAAAAGTATTATTGCGATATAATTCCTTAAACGGAGTGTTTGTAGCTCAACAAAGTTGTCTTTTGGCATTATACTCCACATGACAGTGTTAAGAATTTCACTGCAGTTCTGAGCTTTCCCGTGAAGACATTTTCTTAGAAGATTTTGATCGCAAAATTTCTTATAAGTCTTTTTAATAGAATTAATAACTGAATTTGGAAGACCCGTTGTGATTTTTCTTTCAACGTTTCTCCATCAAATTCTGCTCTCTGGAAATCTCTAATTTTTCGAATAAAACCTTCTTCCGTGATTTCAAAAATTCTTCAAGGGAGAACAAACGCTAACTGCCTTTCTAACATGTCACTGAAAGGTTTTTTGTTTGCATTTGACTTGTATGCTGTCTTGTGAATTAAAATTATATAAGTCTTTTTTCCTGAAATATTGTTTTGATTTTTTTACTTGACTAACATTGTAGTAGTAATATTACTACTGGAGCATCGTAAAAATACAAAAAAAGTGTAAGTGCAGATTGTACTGAAAAAGTATAGATTGCCTAAATTAAAATAATTTATGCTAGAATAGCTGAATTTCTAAATTAAGAAATATAAGTATTTTCAATCAAGATTACAGTTTTTTATGAAGCTTACATTGACTGGGTATGCTTCCTAAAAAAACTACTCTGATCAAAACCAAATGCCTGAAAAGTTACGGTCTTAACTTTTTGCGTAAAGCATATTGTTTTTAATGTTCATATCTTATTACATGCTAGTGTTACATAAGATACATTAAAGATTTTAAGTTACTGCAATTTGTGATTGTCTTAAATAAGTTTTTGGAATAACATTGTTAAAAACAATTTAATTTTCAACATGTTGAACTGCATAATTATTATCTGGTACACTTTATAGAAATACCTCTTTGTTTTATTGAATTTTCCTAACAATCATTTTATAGTTTTCTTTGTCGTGATTCAAATTTCTCATTTTGCGTCGTGTTAAATTTTGAAGTATGGAGTCCCAGCTCAGCTTTCATCCTTGTTACGTCTCAATGATTCAATATTTCAAGGCCGACACTAATAACCTCAGTTTTGATTCGCCTGCCTGACGTTAATCTATGATTTCATATAAAATTTTCTGTCGTAGATTCAAATCAGATTTTTTGTCAATTTTTAAAATTATTGTTACTTAATCATCAGGAGGAGGAAATCAAAGATGATGTTTGATGGTTCAGTTATAGAAAAATCCTAGATTTAAACTCTTTGAGCGATTTATCGAATCCTTTGGAGAGCACGTTGATTGTGTCTATTTATACTACAAACTTAATTATTCTATAAATAAAAGGTAATTTGTGACAGTCCAATTTGTACAGAAGGCCTTGGAATTTATGAATAATATTTCTAAAGTTGTAACCAGGATCGTTATGGTATAGCAGAATAGCTGTGCGAAACTGGCTTGGGCATTTCGATGGAGAATCAATAAACAAATATATTCAACCTAATAAGTCAACACTACTCAAGATTTGGTTCTATTTTCAGAAGTTATTGATTGTAATTAATATGGGATTCGAAGTTATTTTAGCCGAGGATGGATTCCGCTATCTATATACTCATTTGCGGAGAAACTAATGAATAAAAAAAATTCTTTTGAAAACATAACAATTATGAGAAAAATAAATATTAAAGTAAATTTGACCTTTAGAAGAATATATAGCTATTAAATTAGCTTCAAAAACAGAAGTTTGGGAGGGTTTTATTACTTATTTTATTGTTCTGTACTTTCTGATCCTGTGATATCCGAAGAATACAAAAGATTGTTGATTTTATGAAAGCCCAACAAAAAAAAAGGGGATGGGGTAAAGATCTGGTTTAGAACCACTCAAATAACTGTGAATATGCCCTGCATATGATTAATCATTAATACATTTAGTGCAAATGTCAAAGAGATTTTTCTGTCACAAAACGAGGTGTGACCACTGGCCGTCTAAGCAAATGCCATTTGGAAGCTTTTTACACAATCAAAAAAGAGAACTGTGTCCGGGCTCTTCTCAAATATCAGTAAATTATTGAGTTTTAATTCCAAATCAGGTATAGCAGTACCATAGAACCATAATCTCCATAGAACAATATCGTCAGCGAACATTGCGATTCTAATCCCAGAAGAAGTCACTTTCTCTATACCAGCTAAATACATAGAGGAAAGTGTACGGCTAAGAACAGAGCCTTGAGCTACGCCTTGGCTGATTTTGAATGAATCCGAAAAGTTTTGTTAAGTTTTACTTTAATGAATCTTCTCTGCAAGAAGTCTGAGACCCAAGATAAGTTTCTTTCTCGGATGTTGAAGGAATCATGTAGCTGTAAAATCAATTTGTGATTCCAAACTCTATCAAAAGCCTTCATGAGGTCTAAAACAGCGTCCACAGTTTGATGAGTTAGTTTAAAATTATGAGCGTCTCTAATAGTTTAAAAATGCCAAATAGAATTTGGTCCGTTTTACATTGACTCCTTCTAAAGTCGTTTGGCTCGTGTGGCATTAAATTATTTTTGTCTAAAAATTAAGACATTTAGTGCAAATATCAAAGACTTTCTTTCTGTCACAAAACGAGAAGCTCTTGATGTGACCACTGGCCGGCCGAATAAATTCTATCAGGAAGCTTTTAATGCAATCAAAAGAGAGAACTGAGGGTCTGGTCTGCTTCTCAAATATCAGTAATGTGTGGGAAATTTTGACAACACCATGATATTCTGTAACTATTTGATAGAGATGACAAAAAGAGAGATGATGTCTTAAAGAGATGACATTCTCTATGACTCTGTATTGCGTTTTTTATTAGGAGAGGCTTGCTTATTATTAGAGGATCTAGTTTTCTGGGTGATAAAATAGAGATCTTGAATATTCAAAAGGTATTCGTCGAAGATTCTAAGATATATTTAAAACGTCAATTATACTTGTAACTTTCCTTTCTGTCCAACTAGTTCTTAAGAATATAAGCCCCCCTGGAAAAGCGAAAATGCTTATATCTAGGAAGAACATTTATAGCATTTTAAAAATGATGAAGCAGTTGCAAACGTAGTCTGACTGTGGATTCCGCCACTTTCTCTTTTAATGTGGATATATATCATTTCGGTCTTCAAGATTTAAGAATAAGACATCGCAGCAGCGAAATTTGATCCATTGGAATTTCTGTATGTGAAATTCGTAACAGCAGAAACCAATACATACGTGTTTTATTTGGGAAAAAAATGATACAGTCAGATTTCGTGTAAGAAAGTAGCGCGATTCGCGTGATGCAAACTTGGCGGTGGTGACGTTTATACATTAAGTATCAAATTATGATTTGAGACATAATTTATCTTTAAATACTGATGAAATCTCGAAAACAAATATGACAGAGAAAGGTTATTTTGACTTTTGAAGTTATACTTCTTATATTGGGCGTTTGGGAAGAAGGATGAGGGTAAAATTTACGATGCGCGCGCACGCCGTCACGGATGTGACGCAAAACCGTCACGAATGTGACGCACACCGTCATGGATGCGAATATGCTTTGTCTAGAAATATATAGAATGGGACAAATCATTCTCGCCTTCCAAAATCCCCGAAAAATATTTCTCTTCATTTCCCTGAAGAGGGGCACCCAGGTTTGAACCGGGGACCTCTCGATCTGCAGTCGAATGCTTTACCGCTAAGATATACCCCCGCGTCAGCGAACCTTTGCTTTGCGTTCCGTAGGAACGGATACGAAAATGCTTTGTCTAGAAATATACAGAATGGGACAGATCATTAACGCCTTCAAAATTCTCAGAAAAATATTTTTCTTCAATTCCCTGAAAAGGGGGCACCCAGGTTCTAACCGGGGACCTCTCGATCTGCAGTCGAATACTCTACCACTGAGATATACCCCGCGTCAGCGAATCTTTGTTTTGCTTTGCGTAGGAACGGATACGAAAATGCTTTGTCTAGAAATATACAGAATAGAACAGATCATTCCCGCCTTCGAAATTCCCCAAAAAAATACTTCTTTACTATATTAGTTATACTTCTTTTTGGGAGTTAGAGGGAAAAAGGTAGAGGGTAAATTTTTACGATACGCGCTCTCAACGTTGTATAATATTTTAACATGCCACTTTTTTGGTGCTATGGGACTGATATTTGGGGCATCATAAAAACTATTGTTATAAACCATATCTGTTGGGACGCATCCCCCCTGTGCATTCCCTCCCTCTACAGCATTTTGGCCAATATCTCGGCATCCGAGCCTCACGGTCCATTTGGACCTGGCTCATTCGATCCCTCTCTATCTGCTCTCCCAATTATTATAATTTCATGCTCATAGGGCTCTTTCTTCCATAGTTTTTAATTGTTTTAAATTTGTTTTACTTAACAATATCTTGGCTCCTGTTCGAGTCTCGGACATGAGATTTGAACCAATTGTTCCACTCGTCGAGACCCATCCAGTCATCTACTTCATTCCCATTGTGTAAAGGGGAGGGCTTAAGCACTAAAATATTGTGCTCCCATGTTAATCCTATGGGAACTGGAAAAAATTTCACCCTCCTAAGCAATTAAACTTGGAACGATTTTTGGTGCTCCGCCATATTTTCGTATTAGCGCGAGCTTTACGTTTAATTGGCCCCCCCCTACAGGGCTTCCCCAGAAATAACTTTAATCCTATTGCACCTTGGTCGACCGCACCGGCTGGATTCGATTGTTCTTCCTATGAGCACCCTAGATATATTTTTTCAGGACCGTAGCTCCATTTCTTCACCCATATTTAACATTTTTAAATTATTTTAAAGATAATTTTTTTAAATCCAGCTTAGCTCCGAGGAATTTTGAGATTCGTTAATGAAACTCGGACCATAGGTTCTCCTCGTTGAGCTGTTACATCTGTTATAATTCATGTGTAGACAGTGGGCTTAGGGGGGGATATCACTAAAATTAGAATCCCCGTGTTATTTCTATTGGGTTCGATCTTTTGATGACGTAACGATATTACAGAGATGGAAGGATAAAACTTTGGGATCACTTACTACTCTGTATATCTCTGGGATGTACGTGACCATTTACGTCACAGTTGTAACCCCCGGGGGGGGAGTTAGTTTCGTATTCATTTCCAGAGGTAGCACCGCCCCATTTGCAACTACAGACTCTGGAACGGATCGAATGGATTCCTTTTGTGTTTCCTCACAACCAGGACCAATTTCGAGTTGCTTGGTGTCCTGCTTCTACTTTATTTAATTATGTTTTAAATGTTTTAATTATTTTAAAATGACCATAACTCGGGGGCACTTCAGGAAGATGTCTTAATTTTCTCAGGAAATATTCTTCCCGTCGAGACATTCAATGTGAGGTCTCAAGTGTCACATTCGGTTCAACTCATTTCCTGGTACAGTCTGCCGAACCCTCCATGTTGTTGGTCCTATTGTCCCTGTGCGGGGGTGTTTAAATTTATTTAAATCGCGATTATCTCGAGTTTGGCTGGTCCGATTGACTGAAGGTTAGCATCGTTCAACTCTGCTCGTGACCGCCTTTCATCCTTGGCCCAGCTTGCTCTACTCAAGATTTTTAGAAATATTTTAATCTTGTTACGCCAAAGAAGTATAATTTCTTACGTGCGTACATAAGTACACACACACTTTTTTTGCCCTTTCCTCAGTTTTGTCGTTTAATTTTCTTTTAGGATAACATGTAAAATATTGTTTGCTGTTTGGTTCATGTTTGGATTACATTTTTGTAGTATCCAAGTTAAACATATGTTCATGAAATATTTTTCATTTTCTTACTTGCAACAGAAAAAATAAAATTTAAAAAAAAAAGTTTGGGCATTACTTTTGAACTTAATATAAACCACATGCCATGCATATTAGTAATTCTAATAAGCATACGCAAAACATACAATAATTTTTTTAATACTTCAGCCCATTTCAGATATTAATTTGTTAAACAAAGGTAGCATGCAAATGCTTTAAGAATTTATAAAAAAAAGTAAATGAATCTACATTTAGAAATAATTGCTTGCGAAATATTTTTAATGCAAAAATATTATTTTCATTCCTTTTTATTAATTTACTTATAGTTATTAATATTTATTTCAAACTTTTATTGAAGTTAAGGCAATTAATAATGCAAAATTCTATTCAATTTAAAATTTAATTGAACTACAATTAAAAGCTGCTAAATTTTACTAAAGTGAAGCATAATATACATTATATCTACGTTTAAACGAAATAAACTTAATTTTTGTGGCACATTTGGATAGACTTTATCACGATAAGGTATTCTCTTCTTCTGGAACATCATAATATCTACTAATTTTAAGCTGAAAAATTAAAAGTGCAATATTACCATTTTCTTTAGCTATTTGGAATTCTAAGAATAATAGAAAAGAATAATTTAAGTAAACTTACAAAGAAGTATTAGAATAAATTACTTTTGCGCTGTTATTGCAAGTTCTTTGAGGTTTTGGCTGCTCTTTGAAAGTTTTTTGGAAGTAAATATTTAAAGTTATTATTAGATTCTAACAATCAGTTCTTTATAACAATGTTTTTATAATTTTTAAATAAATACTTGAATTGTTGCATTTGGCAAAAATAAATAACTAGCTTTGTCTTGATAATGTTTATTAACAATGGTATTTGAAAGTTTTACAAAATATATTTTCTGTATTGTTACAATGTTTGACAGGAGGGCTTGGCTTTTCTTCATCTGAAATATTACTTTACAAAAATATTTTAATTCCTTTTCATTTCTTACATGCGATGTGAAACTAAAAACTAATAATGAATGAAACCTTTTAAAACACGTTATAAAAGCAACTTTATTTTTACTCAAATAGCTTTCCTTAAGTCCTGAATTGACGGACACTTTTATATATAAACTAATCATTAGCAATTTTCCGCATCTTATACTCCATGCTATTGAATCTTATGTAGCACACAGACATCTCTCCAAGGCAGATTTAAAGATATTCTCTATAATACGCTCAAAATTGTTACAGGTATCACAGGGATCTCAATTTTATCTTAATGATAACCACACAATTAAACTAACCTAAAATAGTGGCACCACCATCAATGTCTTAAATGCGCATCTCTATCTACTTTAAACATTCTTTAAAAAATAGAAAATTAAATTTAGTGTAGAAAAACCCTTCGCGGTTCTTTTCACAAAATGAAGAACATCAGTTCATATTTCCACTTTCTACAACACAAACATATCCTGCTCTCATTCTATGAAATACCTAAGTTTTATCCTTGATAAAACTCTCATCTGGAAACAGGAAAGTATATACATGTGAGAAAGGTTCCGCATCGCAGTGAAATGAACTTTCCTTCTAATTTGTCGAGACTCCCATTTAAACATAAATTTTTAAGTATTTCTCTACACTACAGTTCTGCATAAAAGTTTAGCACGCGCTTGTCCACTCTTGGTCTATGCTGCAAATACTAATATAGAAATCCTAGATAATGCACGAAAATTTATCACACAAATGATAGTTAAACCAAGCAAATACATAAGAAATAAAAACATTTATAATACTACTAAAATTTTAAAAAATCACGTTTAGAATATCGCCATTAAATATTTTCAAGATTTTCCACTTGCTGAAACTAACAATATAATTTTAATATTGAAAACTACATTCCTCACGGCTAAATTAAAAGACCTAGGAGAATTCTTCTTGGATTCTTTTAATCCACCTTATATTTATTCCATCTTTACTAATATTTTGTTTAGTAATCCTATTAAAAATTCTATTTTTATTCATTTACAAACACATTTCTTTAAATTTTCAATACTATTTCCTGTGCTGGACTCGCTCCGTCCTTTAACCCCATTCTCCATGAATATAGTGCATTTTAGCCAATGAACACGTTTTCTTTCACCTACATACAATTAATGTTTATACTACTGTGCTAATACAATATTCCAGTCTTCGCGACCTTTATCCTCTCCCCTAATGCTCAAATCCAGAACTTTTTTTTTGTATGAAAACAAAATTTCTGTTTTATTTTTCCAAACACGTCGAAAATTTTTCCAGATAAGGGCCGGAGTGTCACTGTGTGACCCAGTTGCCCCATGAACTCAACTTCAACCTTATTTTTTTCTTGCCAAACTCCGAGAGAAATCTCTTATTAAAATCCAATAACGTCACACTCAGATCAAGGATTATACATACAAACGCATTGTGTAGAATGAATCAAATGGTGGATTCCAACAACTCGAAACAAAAAGTTTTGATTTCATACGAAAACAGTGTCATCACTTAGAAGTAAATGAAGGAGGGAAAATTTTCAAACTTTCTTTCCCTTGTGATTTTCTTAGAGTTGCTGATAGATGCGAAATTCAAATCTTTAAAAAAACAAAGCATCACTTCTGGATTTCTGTCATTTTTTTCTTGGCAAAAATTCATCTAAAATTGACAATTTATTTTATTCAAACACTATATATTGTGACGGGTCTATCCGCGTTCCTTTAAAAACTAATCCTCTTGGGAAATATTGGGTTTTAAAAATTATTATATTATAAAGCTTCCTCCCCCGAACAAGAATATTTGACCATGCAAATTAAGACTTGTATGCAAAGTTAAAACTTTCAGGTTAGAAGAGAGCGAGAAAGTAGATTGCTATCGGCGAGCAGTGATTAATTCAACTTGAAGTGAGGCGTGGATATTTAGTAGCTGTTTATTATAAATATTAAAGTTGACGATCTGTGTCAACTAAGAATTAAATTAGATTAGGTAGCTCAGAAGTAGAAGCTATTGACTAATTGACTAGACGTAGGAGATTTAATTATATAAAGTCTTCTCATAGCTCGCATACCTCGTAAATTGCTTTCAATATTTGAAATCTGAGA